GCTGTTAAATTTATATTCTATATTTTATTGAAATAAAATTGCATGAATTCTTTCCAACCTGTAACCTGTATTTGTTGTTACTTGAGGTTTGACGCAGTTTAATGTAAATTACAGTCAGCATTTGCATTCACAAATTATTTTGATGTCCACTTATTTACTGAATTTTTTTTTTGTTCTTATAATTTCTCTTGTCTTCCATAGGCTATGGCTTGCATTGCGGTGCCATTCTGTGAATTTTAATACTTTTGCTGCATGACCTCAATATATGGTCTAGGCTAACAATTCAATGCAATATTAAAACAAAAATGCTGCATAGTTTGAGGTGCATCTTTTCACTGAGGGCTTAAACTGAGGCTCCATATGCCTGTTCAAATTAACATAAAAAATTGCTTGCCTACCACTACTGACCAAACCCTCAATCCTCACCCTCTCCTTGAACTAAAACACCAAACCAGGTGTTGATGCACTGTTCATTTACTGTTTTAGAATTGGTTTCCATGTTTGGTGACGGAACAGGAACTGCGCTTGAAAATAAATGAGTTGGTTGAGAGTACTTTGGGACATCCCAAGGAATTAAGAGATAACATATAAATGTGTGAAGCTAGAAAATAACATGAGCCTGGTCTGAGTGTTGCAATTAGGGGAATGGGGGTCTATCACTACAAACTTAATTCTGTCTTTAAATAGAAATTAATAGCTACATTGCTTTGCAGGGAGCTGGCATGGAACCAGTGAGCTGAATGGCCATTTTCTGTGTAGTAAATAACACTAATTACAATTGGATGGGAACGCCCATCGCATTCAAGATGTTAAAACATGAAGATACAGTCCTGTTGAGATCAGTTGAGTCTAGGGTTATATCAGAATTTTATAAGCTTGTATCCCATTTATCCCACATCATGCACTGCATATGTTCACAGAGATATGTTGTGATTTTGTTACAATTATTTTCATTGTTTTTCTCCCTTCTTGGTAAAGATGCTGAATCATGCTGTCATACTTTTCTACAACTACTAACAAACCATAACTATTAACAAACCTCCAGTATTTCTGTCTTCTTGTATATGCCCAAATATTGAGTGTCAACAAGCAAGTTACTGATGGAGAACAATCTCAGCCAAGGGAAATGCTTTGTTCACCATTGTCTACTTTCCTGCACTTTCCAGCAGGAATCACTCAATAGCAATAAAGAATTGGAACCCTAGCTGAATCTTTTTTTCCTGCTGATGGTAAATCTCATTACCCAAATCTTGCCCTAGCTAGGGTGATGCACCCAACATAGATAAGAGAATCAAAAAAAGGGGCTGTCTGTCATGTATAGTCTAGCAATACACCGGGCAATGCCTTTATTCATTAAGCCATCGGACATCACAATTTTTCTGTTGCAACCAAAAAGGTATTGGAGTCTTAAAATGACATAAAGTAACAATAAATAAATCCCCAGAGTAAATCTAAATTTAATATTGCCACTTCAACAATTTACCATTTCTGTGTTGTGTAAGCCACCATCAACTGAGTTTAAATATGACTTGTCGCTAAGCGTTTGATTTAGTTGGGGTGACCTATAAAGATTTCTACAGTGATATAATAATTTCATGCATTTTTAGTTCAGAATGTTAAGACATTGCACAATTTGATAAGTCATGCTGTGGGAAAATTATCAGGGAAAGCCATTCCACAGTTACTAATCGTGTAAAGGATGTAAGAACGTAGCATATAACTTTCACTTACCCCCATTAAATAGTTTTCACTTTTAATCAACGTGGCTATTCAGCCATTAAGAGGTTTGCAGTAATACACTGCTGTCATCTAACATCTGTTTTTATAACGGTGGTGTAGCTGCAATCTCTAAATAGTGTTGTTACAGTGATATAAATGTCAACTTTTCTACAACTACATGTGTGCACAAAAGAAACTGACTAAACTGGAGGTACTTTATAACAATAGAATTGTTAAAATTACTCAGATTGCACAATAGTTCAGTGACTTTGACATTCTTGCAGATACACTGCAGTATATTTCACAGGACTTCCTTCCGTCAACCTCTCCGTTCTTAAGAATTAAGAATGAAATGAACCATGAAGGGAAACTACTGTTTATGTTTGCATGGTGCATTAAAGAGGAGTGTGGTCCAGCAGAAAACTCAAAAGAAGAAATCATAGTGAATTCTTTCAATATTTGCAGTTAGTTATCTTGATTTTTTTTAATCCTTTAAGTTATCAAAGTCTCATGTGAAATTACAAAGTGTTCCATTTTGATGTGAAACATTCTATGAAGGCCTATCAAAAGTTGGACCATTTTCCACTGTCCTTTCTATAAGTTTGCACAATCTGAGAGCCTGCAATTAACTCGCCAGTGAGGTGGCCTTAACTCCTTTAACCCAAATAACACCCTGTTACACTGTGTACAACAGAAATGACCTTGTAAAGATGTTTTCATCCCCTAGTGCACAGATTGGAAAAGCTCTTCAATGTATGTGTGTTTTCACAATCTCAGAATCATTTAAAAAAAAACCTGCAGCAAAGTCAGCCATTTAGACCTTCATGTTTGTGTTACTCTTACAGCTGTCATTCTTAATCCCATATCCACAATCTTGACCATAATCCCCAAAATTTCTGATTCTAAAATACCTGTCCAGCTGCCTTTTAAAATTATCTTTGGAATTGATTTCTACCATCTTTTTCAATAAGAGCATTCCAAGTCCTGAAAACTCTGAATGAAAAAAAAATCTCACCATCTGCAGTCTAAACATGTTGCTAATGATTTGAATGAATGATCTCTGGCTTTTGACCCATGCAGCAGAGGGGATAGGTTTTATTAGAATAAGTAGAGAAACCAATCATTATCTTGAAAATCTCTGTTAGGTGTTTCTTTTTATGACCTTTTCTGTACTGAGGAGAGTGATCCTAAGTTTACCAATTTCTCCTCATCATTGAAGTCCTATTTCCCAGGTAAGCCTCTTCTGTCACTTTTGTAAGATTTTTGTATTTTTCATAAAATGTAGTGCCCAGAACTCCCTTGCAACTGGGGCTGATTCAGTAATGTTCTTTCAAGTTATTTCTAAGTAAGGCATATACATTGTGTAGTGTTCATTTTATATTTGTCATTGGATAGTGTGCTGAATATATTCAAAAGGTCCTCTCTTAATGTGACAGTGCATTGGGCAAGATCTCCCAAAATGTTGTACTGGCATTTACTGACAGAGGGTTGACGAGGCTTACAAAGATTATGAATAATCCAACTCTCTCTCAAGATGTTGCATGAGATTCTGTTTTTGTACTTTTTTTTCACCAAGACAATCTTGAAAGGGCTAGGAAAAAGAAGCACTTAATAGACATGGTTTTGTAGTATAACTCTTGATAAATAACAGAGGTGAAGTGTCCTGTGGGGTAAATTCATATTTATTGTTTAAGAGATAAATGCAGCAATGCCTGAATGTCAGTGGCAGTTAGTATTGTGACGTAAATTCAGAGATACTGTGTTTAAGATGCACGTGTAATCTATTTTTACGCTGAACTACCCAAGCAGAATAAACCACCATCGCCCATCGTTTCAAAATTTGCTCGTGTAGTGTCATAGACTAGTAACAATTTTCCCAGGGCAAGTAGGGCTCATGGCAAGAGGCAGCAATGTCTATACAAGTTTCTTTACCCCCACCACCCCTCCAATTTTGTCTATCCAGGAAGTGGCTAAAATGCTGTGTTTATATCACTTAATGTTTCTGCAATATTGACTGTTTATTCTCCATCCTTAATCTCTCTTTTTTACTAGCCTCTCAGATTGATTAACTATTGTCTGAAGTCATGCTTTGTTTTTAACTGTAAATAAACGTTCAGGTTTGATTTGAGATCTTTCCTCCCCACTAGTGAAACCTCCAAATTGGTATCAAGGCTAGCTCCATAACACATCAAGATGTATAAACATAATCATGTCTCCTGATGAGTGCTGACAGGGCTTGACGTATATTTAATGGAATCATTTATACTGGCAAGAAAGATTTTTTTAAAGCCTGGGCACTAATTTATGGCAATTCTGGCCGAGAAATAGATCAGAAATCAAAATGCTTTAGAATCTTAAACATTCCTTAAGACTATGATCATTAAGCTGTGAAACATTTTATTCTGTTGATTGGAAAACATTCCTGTCATACTCAAAACAGAATTAATTTTATAGTTAGGAACTGAAGTGGGCCATTTGGGTCTCCCAGACTACTGAATCGTTCAACAAGATCACTAATATTCTACCTCAACAACTTCTTGCACTGTGCCCATCTCCCTTTATTTCCATTATACCTAAAAATCTATCAGCCTGTCTCTTGAATATGCTCAAACTAAGCATCTGTAGCTCTTGGGTACTTGAGGATTCAAAAGATTCACAACTTTGAGTGAAATTCATCCTCATATCAGTCCTAAATGCCCTGTTCTGAGCCAGTGACACCATGTTTGAGATTCCCAAGTCGGGGAAACTAGATTTCATTCTTGATACTTGATTAGATTTTTAAAAATGTAAATTGTCCAATTAGATTTGATATTCACAATAATGTGGTTTTCATAAACTCGCTGACAGTTGAAGTTGTAAGTTTTGAGGTAAGTATCGGGTTTGTGACAAAAGAAGCTGTAAATGTGTCATGGAAGTAGAGTGCCTCTTCGTGACAACACAACATGATAGTTCACTTCAGAAATTTAACACTGTTTCAATTGAGCAACTTTGCACTTTTGAAATTTCCGGCTATATATGTGTTCTTTAATTACTTCCTTTAAAGCAAGAAAAGTTTGAAATTTATGATTAACATTGAAGCTGAGGTCCTTCAAGAATTGCTTTAAGATTTAAAGTCTGGAAGCTTCTTGCAACTCTGAATTCTCCAAAGCGTTAGTTGTTGGCTCTGTTCATTGTAAGTTTGTATAGGAGTCACAACCAGTATACTTTAAATGGAGAACAATTATGACGTTTCACTTTTCCAACCATGGATGACTCATAACAGGCTGTTTTTTCTGTTTTAGGTAATTATCCCAGACCGCCAAATTACGGTGTAGTACCGAACACCAACTACAGTGGTCCAGGTCCAGGCATGTGTAACAACATGAGTATGAATGTGACCAACCAGATGCATGGTCAAGGTCCAACTCAACCTTGCAGTAACATGACTATGGGGAGAATGCCATCATCAGGGATGTCGAACTGGCCATACTCTGGCAACATGGGAAATGTGACCCCAAACTCCCCAAACATGTCACAACAGGTTGGCGCAGGAATGGGTCCACCCATGGCAACGGTAAATCGCAAGGCGCAGGAGGCTGCTGCTGCAGTGATGCAGGCTGCAGCAAACTCTGCTCAAAACAGGTATGCAAAAACAACCTGGTCTCTGAAGACAGGACTAGAATATCTATACTTTTTAACATAACTATTCGAATAAAAAGGCGTTAATGAAAACAGTAGTATTAGATTTTCATGTAAACTCTGTTTAAACATCAGTCCCAAATTGCTGCTACTTTCTCTGATTACATGTATGTGGCTGATATTTAATATTTAGTAGTATTTTGAAAAGCTAGTTTTAACTTTAATATTGATATTTATTTGTACTTTGTTAGATGTTAAATTTGCATGTGTAATTTGGGGGGAAAAATAACAATTGAATGATGCCAAACAACATATGTATAGAAAAGATTTAAGTTGATGGGGTTTCTCAAGTATTTTAAAACTTAGCTGCAAAAAACTAAGAATTTCTGTCTTGGTGAAATCAGGCACATAAAGTTTCTCAGTTTTGTTAGCTCTCAACTGGAACGCTGTGCAATGTATTTGAAGCATTTCATTTGGGAGGAAAGACAGATGTAGCCTCTTGGATAATTCTCAAAAAAATATTGTTACTATTCAAAAGAAGATCTTATTAGAGACTTAGTTGAGGCTCTTGTGGAGCATTGGAAGTGTCCCTACCTCTGGGCTAGAAGGCTTAGGTTCAAGTTCGACCTGCTCCAGAGATGTGTCATAACATATCTGATCCAATTGATTAAAGTTGCTATTACAGACTTGCTTTCACACCATCCTTTTGGCTACGTTTAAGAGAAGAGAGACTGAAAATGCAAAGGGCATGATTTTTCTTGACACAAAAACAAATTCTTGGAAAATTCAGCAGGTCTGGCAGCATCCGTGGAGAGAAAGTAGAGATAATGTTTTGGATCCAGTGACCCTTCTTCAGAACTATTATGAAGAAGGATCACTAGACCCAAAAAGTAACTCTGCTTTCTTTCCATAGAGTCTGTCAGACCTGCTGAGTTTTTCCAGCAATTTCTGTTTTGTTTCTGACTTTCAGCATCTGCAGCTGTTTGGTTTTTATTTTTCCTCGATTTACTTTATCCTTGTTGTGCTGTGATCAATTGACGCTGATAACTGCAAGAAACTGATGTCTTAATACTACTTGTCTGCCTTCCAAATGAAATTGTTTTAACAATGACAATAGTGCTTGTTAAACAAAATTAGTTTCAACTAAATTCCAAATTTCACTGTAGAATGCTTTTCCATTCAAATAGGCATGGAGTTGATATTTCCCACTGGCTGTTTCTCTAAGCAGAAAGTTACAGAAACAACTTCTATTATAAGTCATTCATCTCCACATTCATCTCTGCTTTTGGCCATCTCAACATAATGAAAAGTCCTCTCTCTTGAAGTGCTATTTCCATTTGCTTTGTAATGTTACACACAAATAATGCGCTTCCTCAGATTCTAGTAGCAAATGATGTCAGAATTACCTAAGCATGTCCCATGATTCATTTGTGACTAGTGTTGTTCTCTGCTTAGAAACGCATACATTTTTATACAGTTAGTAGAGTTGAATTAAAAGCAGCCGTGGGCATGCATCTCAGAATATCTGATTAGAAACAAATCAATAACCACACAATCCCGGTAAACGCACAATCTCATTTGAAAAATTCTTTCCAAAAATGCTTTGCCTTCATCTCTAATTTTATGCACGAGACCAGTGAAAATAGTACAGGAGATTTAACATTCAATTAATATTTAAAATGCTTCCTTCCTTTTCATTTCCTATCTCAATCAACTTTTTGCGCGTTACATAGGTTTACTACAATGCTAGTTGATCACCTTCATCAACCTTTTTTTTTCCTGATTTGGCAAATGGTTTTACAGCTTAGCTGCCAATTCTCCCCATTTATTTGGGCTGGCTGCTGGCACCGATGCACACTAGACTGCCTGTGCCAGTGGCTTGGTTCTTTCATAGCCAACAAAATGAACTGGAGCTTGAATCCAAACTTTCCAGCTCAGACAGTAGAGCTATCCACTGAGCCACAGCAGCTCTCATTTTTTAAAAATGTTTCCAATTAGCTGCATTTCTTGGCAAATTTGTTTTTTTTTGTTTTATACCAGTTAAGTAATGGCTTGGGCTGATTTGTGAATAAACCCGATTCCGAGGATTTCAACTTAGTTACAAGAATGAACTGTGTTCAGTGCATATTTATCCCAAATGGCTTCTTATCAGATGATATTAGATAGCTGGTTGCAACTCAACCAAGCTGGATTACATACAAGTCATCAATTTTCCATTCTACCACTTGATGAACATCGTGTAGAAGCAAAGGTTTCCTTTAGGTACACAGGAGCCAATATGGTTCTACTTTCCACAGATTGTTCTCCATGCAGAGATGGTCAGGTAATGCAATTGGAGTAGGAGTAAGTTCAACTTGATTTGAAATACATGTCACAAAATAACCTATAAGAACACTAGAAAAAAAAGTTGAAAACTTAGAAATCCCCAATGCACAAATCTGTTGAAGGTAGTTTCTCAGATACAAGCAAATATAAATTATGGCATGTACTGACGTAGTCACATCGTGGTGTTAATTAAGATGATTTCCAAATATCTCTACCCTTTTAGTTTAATAGTTCTTGTTACTTCAAATCCCTTACTACTTGTGCACTATCCTTTGTTGAATGATGTCAGACACAGAACTGAGCATTACCGGTTTCAGTTTGTTGGCTCATGAGAGCTGTGTTCCTATGGGGTAAAACACAATTCTTTCTTTCTCAGATCTGTCACAATTCAGGTCACAACATTTGAAATCGAAAATTTGTTCTTCTGAATTCCAAAATCTAGCAATATCAATATAGCTACTTAGTGGCTAAAATATTACCTAATAATATCAATTTCTTTGTGTCCAAATAATTATTATATGCTGGTTTTCAACCAAGTTGTTCAGTTCTAGTTGAAAGAGAACTCTTCCTTGAATTGGTCATTCTTCAATTTCAGAAGATTAGAATTTACTTTGGCAATATTGAAATGTTACTAAAGTGATTTCATGTGTAGTTGTTCACGTGAAACAGCTGTTGAATAGAGTTTTAATTCTCTTGAACAAGATTGCTTCTAAGCAGATTATGTCCAACATTTATTTTGTGGTTACATTGAACAATTATATTTTACCATGTGAGAAATTATATGTAACTGTTAGTGTAACATTTTGCTCCCACAGTTACGAGTTGATGATCATGAGTAACATTTGTCAAACGTTTGATTAGCTAACTGTTGATGCACAGTACGAAACGATAAGGAATGCATGTTTAATAGAGATAGTACAATGTAACAGTCATTAAGGTATTACATTGTTTGATTTGTTCAAACATCTTTTCTGTAGATGTTGATGCATCCTATAGACTGCAATGATTAGCAAACAGTACAAAAATGTATTTTAAACAATTAACAGTGTAGTATATGAGCTAAGCAACTCACTTGGGGCTTTGGCATGACCAATTCAAATGTGGTGATTCCTTGATATCTTATGTTGGGGGCGGAGAGACTTATGGAAGCGAAGACTGATGTTTCTGCAAGAAATGGTTAGACTTAAGGTTCACTTTCATCTGTATAAGCTATATAGGTTAATGGCTCGGTCAGAGTAGTGAGGAAATGAGAAAAGTAGTAAATTAGTAATAACTTGTGTTGGACATTCCAGCATTGTGGGCCACTCACAATTCTGGTGTCATGCCGCTAAAAAAGTATTCAAAAGTTCTGTATTTTTTTAATACCTTAATCCCCTTTAAATGTTCACAGCAGTTTGCACAATATTCAAAGAAAACATGACTAAAGTTAATATTAACCGTACTGAATTCCCTTGTGTCAAATACGTCAAATTATAAATAATGCTTATTAATGTTTTTAAATTTGCAATTTTCACAAATTTAGCATTGTACTTTCATTAAACTATGAATAATGGAGCAATAAATTAACAACTGAAAACTGATTTTAAAAATTTTAATCTGAGCAGTAAGGTGATTTAAAATTAGGATAAACAACCAAGATGTATTTGCTGAAATAGATGTGAAATTGCAGTACCACAAATGTTAAACATTTGATTCATAGATAGTGGGATTTGCCGATGCTGGAGAATCTGAGATAACAAGGTGTAGAGCTGGATGAACACAGCAGGCCAAGCAGCATCAGAGGAGCAGGAAAGCTGA